AGACTTCAGTACAAACACAACATAAGCCATGTCACAGACAGACAGACAGACAGACAGACAGACAGACAGACAGACAGACAGACAGACAGACAGACAGACAGACAGACAGACAGACAGACAGACAGACAGACAGACAGACAAAAAAGGTAAAGAAAGAAAGAAAGAAAGAAAAAAAGCAACAATGATTAATGGGAGGAATACATATAAATGTTGCAATGTTAATTAAGTGTACTATATTTGTCTGTATACGACAAACTGCATGATAAGCTGACCCTAAATTGTTCAGTTAGATAGAAAGAGAGACTAGACAGAGAGTAAGAGAGATTATAATGAAGGCCACAAGCAGCTTCCTCTGCAGAGTATAGATGCATAAACACTTGGCATAACCATTAGATTCATATTTATTTTGCTAGGCATTTTAATTCATATCAATCATGCAAAAAAAGTAATATTTTTAAAGGTACTGCAAGATAAAACATGTTACATTATTTGCGAATTCAATTTAAAGTTGAATAGTTTTATGAAACATTGAGTAAAATGTATTTACTGTATTAAAATAGTGCTTTTTTGGCGAGCAGTTTGATGTGATACTTGTGTGCCTATAAATAACAAAGGCCGGCGAACGGACACGATCATTTCATTAGAGCAGCTCAAATTCAATTAGAGGATATGGCGTTTGTTTAAAAAGTTTTCTTTCAAAACATTGTGGCCGACAAACTCTTCATAGTGGCTCTGTTATTTCTACCAAGGAGGCCCATTTGGGAAGTATCACATTGAGAAACGAAAAGATACGAATTTAAAATGTGCAAACAAAGCAAAAGTGTTTAACAACTCTACAATTAAAACGCGTTTCAGTTATGTTATAATGACGCAGCTATTCACAAAAAGAAAGGCCTGTGAATAGGTCGATTTAAAATCGTCTAAAACAAGTAGGCTAAAATGTACTTCAAATATATTTTTAATTCATTTCAATCAAAACAAAACTTGTTTGGAATAATTAGGTAAACATTCATGAGCAATATTGTTTCGGTTTTAATAAATATGATATTATTTACGTGTAATTGGCTATAAATCTTCTAATTGTGCCTATAGAAAAGTGTTTGTTTGCAAAAACTATAAATAATAACTTCTAAACAGTTCGTAGTAGCTATGATACAATGTTTGTCATTCATTCATTTACAAATACAAATATTTATTTACATTGTTTTGATTCCTACATTGTGCGATAATAGATTTTTTTACAACACTATTTTAAATACAAAGGTTGTCTGGCTTTAAAAAGCCCCAGTATAGGCATAGCCACTACTGCGCAGTATAACAAACACCATAATGTGCTTTTATAACGCGTCATATCTTAAAGCAAGTCTCAAGTGGATATCTCGGAAATATAAATGTTTTGTTTACTAGTTTAATTAAAAACATAGAAAACAATATATTTGCCCTTAACAATAAGAGGAAAACAATTATGCTGCCATATATGACCATAAGTACTAAGATCAATAATTTATGCTGTAGGTAAATCAGGCCTGCTTTTGTTTTACTCTCCATTATCGTTGAAATGAGGGATTTGTATGCAAAAACACGCAATGTTTTACAGTAACACAACGATATATATTTTCTTGCGTTAGAATGAAAAACAAGATCGTGCCCAGTAGGCTACACATTAAATGTGTGTGTGAGAGAGGGAATAAGTGGGAGAGAGAAAGAGAGAGAGTGTGGAAGATAATTAATATATTACTATAAAATATGCCAAAAACACAATAATCACTGCTGATGTGAACACTGAGCCAATACAGCAGATATATTCACCTGAGAGACTGACAGGTCTGACATGTTAGTACAGGATACGCGCGCACACGAGCGCAGCATGTGCAGAATCACTTGAACGCACTGATTTGATTTCCTTCCCTGGAGGCCTGCAGCCATAAGCGCTCCTTGCTTCGCCCTCTTACTCAAACCTCACATAAAGTTACAGAAACTATTATATATAAGCTAGATAAGTGAACTACAACTACAGTGAAGATTAATTCAAACAATGTTCGAATGCAAGGGGGACTCATTCCCTTGATAAAGAAATATCTCTCTCTCTCTCTCTCTCTCTCTCTCTCACTCACTCTCTCTCTCACTCTCACACACACACACACACACACACACACACACACACACACACACACACACACACACACACACACACACACACACACACACACACACACACACACACACACACCAGCGGGGGCGCAGTACTCATCTACATTGACGTAGTGGTAGGCTAAATAAAGTTGTGTGAAATAAATAAATATATATTGGTCATTAACAAATCCTGTGTGCATGCTGTATTCCAAGAATACACTGTTTCTCATTATAAACTGCTAATTGTTTCCTGAGACGTTGGTCAAGAGTAGGCTACAGGTAAAAATATGCTGCTTCCCTTGTAATGTTTTTATTATCGAATCAACCTGTTATCAGGATGTTATATAAAGTTATACATAATACTTAATGGGTGTACAGTTATTGAAAGTAAAAATGTGCCTTAGAAAGTGTTTGGCATGTTGTTATCTCCTATCCACCTGCAGCATGTGCGCAATGACACCACTTTAAATACGCTCACGCAGAACGCTTGAAATTGGTCAGTGAACTTATTACGTGACCTTAAAGATTGACTGCTGAACTTTGGCCTGAGTCCGAGTGTGACTCCCGAAAAACAGCACCTTTAAGCCCTAGGCCCAGTGAGGCAGACAGGGAGTGCTCTGACAGTGAACTATCCTTACAGTACAGACAACAATGCTCAGACTGAAGGAAAAAAGCTCTTCCTTCTCCGCGGATCAATATCAGCGCAGCTGGAGCCGAACAGGAACCGGCATCGACACACTGTGTGGAGCTGACCTTTTCCACTCCCCACAGGTCATACCTTCCTCCGCCGGAGAGGTCAGCCACCGAAGGGGCCATTAGGAGGTGATTTCATGTGCTGAATAAGATGCACATAAACCAATATTTATAGTTAGACAGTGTGGTAAACTCATTTCAGTTATTACACTTTTGCTAAAAAAAAAAGCACAACAGCTTTTACCAATAGAAACGATCCTCCTTTTATCCTTTTATTTACCTCATGATTCTGTGACACATAATGCGAGCATGCCTGTATAATAGGAGACAACGTTGCCTGCAGTTAGAGCAGCTCCATAAGACAGAGTGCCACTTGCTGTTGCAGCGGAGAGTCGGCCTGCGGCGGATATCCACTATCACAAGACCCACTATGGGTTTTCTATGATAAATAACGCCTATGAAGCACGACACATATAATACCAAAATGACAGTAACATATCCACACAGAAGCATGCGCAGTCAGCAGAGGCCAGCAATACAACCAACAACTAGCGGAAAAACACTTATTTTTTCTTTAGCCTATTTAATTCATAAATAGCCTTAATTATTTATTCTTCAAAGAGCCTCAGACCCGTATTAACTATAGGCCTACAAGTTCACTGTCATTATCTTTGCTCACAGCACTACAATGCGTCAAATTAAAACAAACACGCCTGAAGCGTTCTTCAAACCATCTAAATTAATAACAGAGGTACAGAGACATATGGCCAGCTCCCATCACAGGTTATTATACACAAGAAGAAGAAGCTTTCAGACTGGACTAAGCCGAGTCAAGTTCAAGTTCACCAGCTCCTGTGCACTCAAGTGTCCATTGTGGGGGAGGGGTCACATTCACGGCTGTGTTTCCAATAAACTCAATGACTGAATCTGGGGAAATATGAAGTGACAAGGATATGAAGGATATGGAGAAAGCTTTGCCACATTTCTTTAAATTAATACTCACAGGAACACACAGTGAGTGCTGAGAGTGCAGAATGAAAATGCTTAGTTTGCTTGGATTTCTTGACTTAATTTAAAATATTTAAAACTCTGGTACAAAATATTTTAACTAGATAAATTAACTTTGTGCCTATGGGTAGGCCGTATTTCAGGAAATTCTGTCCGTGTACATGTTTAAAGTATTTCAAAACCTCCTGTTTAATCTGCACAACAACAGCACCATTGTTAGGGCCTGAGCGGCTTTGCAAAGCCTGAGGTTTAGCCTATGTCCTGTAGCCTGAGGACAAATATTGAGAAATTAAGAATTGTCCAAGAGCTAATGGCTATAAGTTATAATGTCCGAGACTTAATAAAGTGCCATGGTTACTTCCAAAACAGACAACATCTTTCCCGATAAAGATGCTACTCACTAAGCTGCACCAGCAGCCATCAGAACAGAAAGCATTAAAAATGAAAGAAAAATATTTAGCACTTGCAACACCTTTTATTATATTTGTATGCAGTAAAATTCTTATCACGATTAGGAAGAAAACACCTCTTAAAACTTTGAACAAAAGCACATAACGAAACAACTGCCCATGTTTAGCTCATAATTGTACATATTTATAGTAAAGAAACATTCTTTATAAATACTGTTTCATCTGTAGCAAGTAAATACCATAATTTAATTACAAATGGATAAATATGGCAGTTGATATTTACAAAAGGAAGGGTGTAGTTACAGAAAATCGAACGGCACAACGTTTATTTTCCTCACAATCTTCCAGATAGTATTTCACAATTCAAACTTGCAAAGCACAAAACATCACAAGTTAAGCCCAGCAAACTAAAGTATACATTCACAAGCATAATATTGTGGTCTGTTCGAGTTAAATGTTAACTTTGGCACTCTTTCCAGTTTATAGATGTTTAGTATAGTACAATCAATTTGCCTTGGGATCACAATATTCAACATTATAGTACAATTTCATCGTAATATGTGCACTAAAAGTCCAGTTAGAGAAATAGCTACCATTGAAGGAACATCTATACACCAAAGACGGACAAACTATCACAACCAATGGGAAAGTGGGCTTTCAGTAATTATTTACAATATGAAATACACCTAGACTATTATACATATTTTCCTCTGTTGGTAATCGTCATCTTCCCAAAAATAATAAAATAAACAAATGTTTGTGTGCCTCTTGTATGCACAATCTCCTGCTGAAAGGTCCAGTGCTGTGAAATGAGTGTGTGTTGATTCATTTCAGCTTAGTCCTAAACATACCATTCACTGAAATTGGAGGATAGGCCATTGTGGCTGGTGTTGTGGTGCACAGCTGAGGCTGGGGACATAGTGGTGTTGCTTTGAGTCTCGGTGGTGGGAGACACCAGGCCTGGAGGTGTGGAGGATTCATAACCCGAGCTGGCTGCTGGTGATGAGTCTGATGGTGGTGGTGGTGGGGAGGCTTCATGCACCTGGAGGAAAATAAGAGAGATAAATATTAGCATCAAAAAAAGCATTTGAATTTAGATGAGACTGTTGTACAATTTAAAATGCAATAATCACAAGTGTAAATAAAAAAAACAACATGACAAAGGCCTGACACACACATTAATAATGAGCACACACATTTATTGACACGATGTATTTACCTTCATGTGTTTTCGTAGAGAGCTGGGATGTGTGTAGGACTTGTCACACATTTTGCAGAGATATGGCTTGTCCGACGTGTGAACGTGCATGTGTTTCTTTCGGTCGCTGCTGTTTGCAAACCTTCTGTCGCAGCCCTCAAACTCACACTGGAACGGCTTCTCTCCTGCAGAAAAAAAGGAATAAATGTATTCAGATATTTTGCACAGAGAAATGCCTCGGGCTAGCAGTTGTGCAGTTCACTGGATGCGTAAAATATAAATGCAAAAGTTGGAGTTTATAGTGATATGCTCTTGAATCACAGCAATCAATTACTTTTAAAACAACGCATAGCAGGATCCTGATTGTTGTATTCAAAGTTGAAGGCTTATCTTAAAACGAGAGGGGGAGTTAATAAATAATGCGCATAGTGATTTGGAGGGGGTGGGAGAGAGGGATAAGGCCGTCCTCAGTAGGCCTACAGAAGGCGTACCATTTGCTGGGAGACAATAAAAATCTAATTAGCACCTGACCAATTTCATGGCAAGACACCATAATAACATTTCCAAGAAAATAAGTCAAAATGTGAAAGGCTGGTAATGGCCCTGTCTAGCACCTTAGCTACTTATCAAAAGGGACACATGAGAAAACAAAAGACATTCCTCACGCTTAAACAGTAGGCCTACTACTGCTGTCTTCGACTAAACCCACACCATAACACACAACTTCTAAACAAACAGGAATTTCAAATCGATTAGATATGAGGTGTGAATAATTTATCTAAGGCCAAATCTAAAGGAAAAAGTGGGAAAATATGAGCGGTAAAAGCGCACTATCCACATGAAATCAATTGATAGGATTTACTACACCACCCTGTCTGCTTTACGATGCACGCAACGCGCTCCCACTTCCCCCTTTGACCCATTTTAAGTTTACCCCAAACAGTAAAACGTCGACAAGCCTGATTAAACAGTTTTTTACACGTTTGGTAAATGTTTTACATTCTAAAGAATTGTTAAAATGCCTAATGTAGCAGTAAAACAAAGCATTATTATTTTATACTATCCAAACTAATTTTCTCACTCTCCCGGATGTGGTCCTAAATCTACTTTGAATGTTTATACGAATACTATCGACTTTAGCAGCCGAAAATAGCCACTGATAATTAGATCTTAATTCGTGTTTGCGCTTGGCAAGGCACATGTTTACACCAGCGAAATAAATGCACATGCCGGCTTACTCCCAGCAATAAAACCGATCTTATTATTTGAATTAAATCAATAAAAACAACGTCAATGTTTTGATAATTACCTGTATGTGTTCTCTTGTGGATCTTCAAGTTTTCTGATCGTGCGAAGACCTTTCCACAGCCGGGGAAAGGGCATGGAAAAGGCTTCTCCCCGGTGTGCACCCGAATGTGGTTCACCAGTTTGTATTTCGCCTTGAACGGTTTGCTCTCCCGGGCGCATTCTTCCCAGAAACAGACGTGGGTTGTCTGCTCCGGTCCCCCGACATGCTCCACTGAGACGTGCGTGACCAACTCGTGCATGGTGCTAAAAGTTTTGTTGCAACCCTTCTTCGGGTTGCTGAGCTGCTCAGGGTCGATCCACTTGCAGATGAGCTCCTGCTTGATACACTGTTGCCTCATGTAACGGAAAAAGGCACCGGGGTGGTGGTGGGCTGCCATGTTCATCCCCATGTTCATATTCATGGAGCCGTACTGATTGTGGAGCTGGGCTGCCGAGTAATGGTCGGTCCTCGGGCTGGAGACCTGGTGGTACTGGTCGGAGCGTCCAAAAACTTCCCCGGGTAGTCCGAGTCTCATCTGCCCGTTCAGGACATTAGGGGATCCGTGGGACCCGTGCTGTTCGTGGATGCCTGGGAACAGAATGTGGCCTTGAGTGTCTGTATGGGAGTGATGGAGGGATCCCGCCGAGGGGCCAAAAATAGTGTGTTGGCTGCTCGCCGGAGAGGATTCTCCGAAGCCACGACTACGAAAGAGAAAGTCCCTGGTTGAGTTGAATGGAGAGCTTGCATACGACGTGACATGGGCGGCATGAGCCCCGATAGCCGCAGCAGGGTAGCCGGGCGCCTGTGTGGAGAAGGCAGAGCTCTGTCCCGGGGAGAGATCATGGTTCAGCTTAAACGCACCCATGTGTGCGGAGTCTACGAAGCTATTTTGTGACAAACTCAAGTCTCTTTCCTGCATCTCGCTCGCTGAGTGATGCCTGGCAAATGACCCCACTCCCAGTCCGGGGAACTGGTGACCAGCATCCAGTAACATGATTTCAGTTAGCGTATTTTGTTTTAGTCTGTTTGTTTAAATCAGCACACGGCTACAGCGAATAAGTTTAAGAACAAAATCAAATGCTGGCAGGCAACGATTCAAGTTCCAACCTTAGAAACACCATATCAGATGTGATTCAAAACGCTGCTCCGCTCATGAGGAAAAAAAACAGCTCGGCTTAACGAACACTGAATTTACTTCTACTTAACTTGTGCTGCAAAAATCCAAAATGCAACGAAATGAAGAGTTTCCTTGAGTCCTCTTCTCTTGACTGCGGCAGTTGGCTGCGATAAAATGCACTCGAAGAATTAAATAATTATCTTACTAGGTGTCCTCGGTGTGGAGCATCTCAAAAAACGCTGTTCCGATTGGGTATGTATTTATTTCTCTGGCTCGCCTGTGTTTATCGCGGAGGGTCCCTGTTTCTCCGTGGACTGGCTCTACCTCTTCTTCCGCCCCCTTTAACTGGAGCCCGTTCATTCATTCCTCGCAGTCTCATTGGCCACTGCGCCTCATCAATCCCAGGTGGCCCTCCAATGGTAGGTAGCGATTTGGCGACTTAATAGCGCAACGCCATTTTCCACTAATAATTACCGCCTACTTTTAGGAGAAGGTTTGGGGGTATATACAAGCGAAAGGATCACGACGAGAGAGAGGAGAGAGACATGTTGTTTATATTCCGTGGAAGCAAATCCTATAATAAATAAATAGATACGATTGTGGCATTTGCTGAGAAATAAAAAGATTGGAGGTACAAATATTCAGATCGGGGGGAAAAGTAAGTCAGATGGTTTGTGGTTCATGGTTATTTACTTAATCTAAATAAAAGCAACAGCTCTGGCACTATCTTTTTTTGGTAAGTAAAAGGAAATGTATCACGCTCCTATTTCAGTTTACACAGAACCGTGTAATATAGTATAAGGGTATTCATTTATCGCCATGACATCTAAAATTACACAAATAGCAAAAAATGTTTAGTAGGCTACGCATGCCCATATGACTGCAGAAAAGGTAAGAGTGTAAAACGGTGATGTTCAGGCACCTTTATAAAGCATCATGCATTGATTGAAATACTACACTATTTTATTGAACTGCAAAAGCTGCATTAACTGATGGCAAAAATATATATATATACATAATGCTGCCTACTAATGCAGAGCATTGTATCTTGTTTAAATGCATTGAATGTAGGCTACTGCTGCAACCCCCCCCCCCCCACCCAGCTTCCCCTCCCCCTTAAAAAAGTATCCGACCAAATTATAATAAACTGCTAGACCACAATAACATTTAAAATTGTGATATATCTTAATAATCTGTTGATGTGATAAAGTTCCTGCAGAATCATTTATTCTGACGAATATCACGCCGCTTCATTCTCCGCAGCTGAAAAAGCATGTGTGGCTGCATATGGAGTCCAGTGGTTTTTCACTGGTTGTAGAACCACAACTGGGCCTTTAGCGGTGCCCCAGCGCTCATACTGGCAACCGCTAGTGCATGTTGTTGGTTCTTTTAATGGTTCCATATGTCACTGGTTCTTTTTCCTCGGTGGTTCTCACATTCACCACAGCAATTAAAATACATGTTATGGTGGTGAACTGCGCTTAGATCCAAGTTAACCATGAGTGACATGTAAGGTCGAGCCTTTCCTGAACGCCCAATAATAAGGTTTGAGCAATACAATTTACGCTATATTGAATTAGGATGGAATTGTATTTCTTTGAGTTTTCAGGTGTAGCTACTGTTTTGTTTTAGCCATAAAAAGGATGCCTTCAATAAAACAATAGGCTGCAGCTGCAGCCACTGTTTTACATTGTGAACCATATTGTTTTCCTAATGATATTTCCCTTTTGATTTACAAACAGGCAAAATATAACTCACAGATGGAAGTCGATTTTTTAAACAAGGATTGGCTTCTTTTACTGGCAATTTTCATTACAAGCATTCCCTGAATCTGTGTTTAGTTGGGGATATACAGGCGAAGAACCACAGCTGCTCATTCACATTCACAAGTCAAAGGAAGTTTACTTACATTTCCACCAAATCAAAATCCCACAAGTTCTCCCGTTCCATTACACAACTCAATCTCAGTCTGCCTCAGCTCTCCGGTGCTCTAGGCGACAATTAATGGAGAATGTGAGGGAAGCGTTTAAAAACTTTTTTGAATTTGTGAGTCTCATAGCTCGGAGTGGGACAGGCTGAGCGTTGTGTGCCATTCTTCCAAGTCTATTTCAACCCGCACCACAGGAAACGCAGGAGCTGATCCAAGTTCAAAGTCACGTCTGCCGACCCCTATAAGAAGTTCTTTATTTCTCAGGAAAACCACAAAACATTCCCCAGATAGGGAGAAAGCGAAGGGGGGGGGGGGGGGAAATCTATCAGTTAGAGAGGCACAGGGCTGCGGGTTTACCCTTCTGCTTGGAGAAGAAAGGGGGTCTAGCCTATTGAAAATCCCCCAAAGACCAGTATTTCAACAGGTTTATGGACCAGCAATACATAGCCCATAGATTTAAAATATAAATAAGATGATATGTTTTAGAAGGTGATCTGAAGTTACAGCTTTAAATTGTAGGCTAAGTATTACACAAAGATCAATAAAGTCACAAGTCTTGATCACATACGGGCACTGTGCCTGTGTGTCATAATGGGGGCCAAAGGCGTATTTCTTCTGCCTGTTATCTGACAATATCAATATGTTGACACACTGGAAGGTTACTTGTGTGGCTTCCGTGACCTTGTGTTTCATGGATATTTGACCTATGAACCGTTAAGACCACATATGTTGCCCTCTTGACTCCCTTTGGTAAAATAACCCTGTTTATGACAAAGCGTCTTTGTTTTACGGAGAGAGGAAAAGAGAGGGAGGGAGAGAGAGAGAGAGCTTTAAGAGGTCCCACTTCTCCGTATGAGGCATCGACAGCTATATGGAAACTATAAATCTATTTTTTTTTTTTTAAATAGCCTATTCCTTAAAAAAAAGTAAGGACCCAGGCTTTCCTCATTCTGATTATAAAAAAATATGCATTTTATAGATGAATTTATTTGACATGGTAGAATAATATGAATGATGAAATGTCTGTAGCACACTGTGACCAAGAGGTGCATTCCCAAAATTGCACATGCGTGAGATTCACAAATTGTCACGGTTAAGCACAAGGGAGGGTAACTTGTGTTACTACTTCATCAGCAAAATTGTAATTCTTGTTGTTAATTTTGTGTGGATTATGTTCTTCTAATGTGGTGTTTAATTTAATGTGTATGAAATAGGAGCCCTTAAACAAATCATAAACAGTGCACCCACTGCTCTTCTGTGGTTTATGAGTTCCCAGAAGCTCCCATTGGAGCTGGCTAACTAAATCCCCGAAACAACCATACACACATGTGTCCATGGGAGATTGTTTAGTGACTTTTAAATTACAATGAAAGAAAAATAGGTATGACAAATAATTGTAAAATAGATTAAGATAGATTGTGCACATACAATAAAAAATTAAGCCCTTATCAAAGGAGCAGGTAAAACTACTAACAGTAAAAACCAATGAAACAAATATGACTGACTGTAAATTGATAAGATTTCTTTAAATATTTTTGCAAAACTACAAAAAGGTATTAATCAATTGCTGAAGTTATGACATAAAACCTCCACTCGTGTTTCATTTGCAGATTGTCAATATCATAAATCAGTTTCAACAAAGAAGCATGTGCAACAGGGCCATAACATGTAAACCCTTCCCTCTGGAAATCAATTATGGATGAGTGGGAAAATGTGGTTTTCATTTTTATATTTAAAGTTTTATATTTTTAACTTATTTTCAAGTTAGAAAAACTTTGATGATTTGATGATTTGTAGTTTGAGTATCACACATCGATTGGAAAGGTGTGTGAATGAAGACATATGAATGACAGATACACGTCCTGCTGTCATCAGGGACTAATCAAATGGCAAGATCCGTCATAGTGAGCTATAATGCAGTTTAACAGATGTCTTTCAACTACAATAATAACCATTACAAAATGATGGTAAATAACGCTTATCCCGGGTGCTGAGAATGACAGCACATTACACACTTTGCAGGTCCTGTCAAAAAAATCACTGAAATAAAATAGTAGGCTACGCTGTGATCCCCTTGTTTTAGTTTACTGTTGGATGTTTAGAAGTAACTAGTTAAGGCATCCTTAACTTGTAAATATTGTTAGGCCAACATAATTATGATTGTATTATAATTGTATTGAGGCATTATGAAAAATCATACAATGAACAAGAACATAGGAAATTGTTATAGTTTTTAAAATACGTTTTAAGGATGATTGGTGTGCATCACCCCAAAACTCAATTCAAACCTAATTTAAATGTAGAAGTCATATTATTTCGGTCAACTTGTGAAATAAATATACATTTATATCATAATTTAGAGAGAAGGGAAGGATAAACAGAAACAGCAAACGAAACTAAACTCTGTTAATCTGAATATTTCTTTAATTTATCTACTCATAATTTTATGGTATTTTAGTCTTCAGTAAAATAAAGTTTTTATAATTACGCATCGCAATGACTTTCCACAGGTGTGCTCCTTACTTAATATATTTTCCTAAGAAATCATGCTGTTGTTGTTTTTTAATCCTTCTTCATAATAAATACATGCTGAACCAAGCGTGCCAAAGAAATACACTTCGCCCCATCACTGTTTGCCTCTTTACTCACTATACTGCCGTGAATTACGCATCTAAAAACTGGCCACATCCTTTACTCTACTCACTTACATTCAAACATACATCCACCAGCAGCGTGTTCTTTTTTCAATGGCGACCTCAAATCAATAGCAAGACAGTTCACCAAAGATAAACTGGGCTGCATTGGCCATATAAACTGACATTTCGGTCATCCACATGCGCCAGCAGCAGTAAACAGAAAGCCGCACAAACAGATCTGCTGGTAACTTTGTGAGTACAACTTTTTGGAGTCAACAGCGATAAAGAGAGTGAGGGGGCGGAACCCTGCTGAGCCCCTGCGCTGAACGACAGCCAATCGCTTCGTTCTCCTAACTGCCAGTCACCGAAATCCGTCCAATACCCGCAGTGCCATTTCTAAACTGTATTCCCCACTGTGTCCTCCAACTGTTGTATGTTCTGCCAATCGCTTGAGGACAGAGTGGGAAAAGGAGCAAGCAGAGTTAGAAGCCGGACAAAAGAACTTATAGACCCCTTATATACATATTTTTCTAATGTTTTAGAGAGCGTGGTGGGGTGAAAACAATTGCGGTGAGTGCGGATGGACTTGTCAGTGTAGTTATGGAACCCCCTTTAAACAAGAGGAATCCGGCGATAAGATTAGCGGATTTGGCAGCGACTCAACCCCATCCTCATCAGAATATGACAGGCTTCCCGGGGCTAGGG